AGCTTTTTTCCTCTGGTTTCTTATGAGTCCAGGATGAGCAGCAAAGATGACCCGAGCAAGAGTTGTCCCGCGGCCGCGCCGATCTCCAGTTTCACCATCCAGTCCATCCTAGGCGGCAGCACCACCACCGCCGCCTCCGCCGCCGCCTCGGAGGGAGGAGGCCGGGAGCCCGGCTCCACCAAGCCGCCCGCCTCCGCCTGGCCCAGTCGCAAGAGGAGCCTGTCCGTATCCTCCGAGGAAGAGGAGCCGGAGGAGGGCTGGAAGCATCCCGCCTGCTTCTGCCCGGACTCGCATGGTCCTAAAGAAACGTGCCACAAACACCACCAGCCCATCAGTTTCACGTGTCTCAGTAAGTACCGGACCCGACGAACCATCCCCACCCCACCCCCCAGTCCACAAAACCCCTCAACCCTTTCCTTCCTCATCAGGAAGGATGATGATCACGTCTGATGAAACCAGGCTAGCCTGACGAGGCGGCGTCGGGAGGCAGAGTTCTCTGGCTTTGTCAGGGCGCTGCGAACTGTCCGGTTTCATCCGAACTTTCTAGTCAGGCCGAGTTTCGAGGGGATGAAACGAACCCAAAACGACCTCTGGGGTGGGAAAGGCTGATGTCCGTCTGGAAGGCCAGAAGATTAGAGGTTTGGGGTGCTTTTCCACATACAGTGGTTCATTTTACAAAGACATAAAGACATAGGTTCTAAGCTCTGTAATAGCTACCTATTATTGGGTTTCTTCTGCCCTCCCCTTGCAAAAATTGTTTTTCATTTACTTTCCTGGTCAGTTCTTTTGCGGGGGGGGGGAAGGGCTGGTGCGAAGGATACACTTAATGAATACGGATTAAGATGACATTTTGGGTTTGGTTTTTAAAAGAATAAATCTCATTTCATTTTGCCTTTTCCTTCCCCTTTCGGTCAATCTCGTTTATTATGATAGATAAGGGTGACTTTCCTTTAACCCCCGTCAATAAAGGGGGAAAGAAAAATTCTCCGGCACGGCTCTTGAATAAGCAACGTATGAAATGTTAAGATGTTTTTTAAATGTAGGCTCTCCTAGTACAATAGGAAACAAATCATAAGTGTAGAAGACAACAGCCTCCTCTTCACCAAGAAGTCAATTTTATTGAGTTCAGTGGCAGAAATATTTACTCCCACGGAGAATATGTGCAGAGGTACAGGTTAGGCTACAGTCCTACGCACACTTAGGTGACAGTAAGACCCACTGAACAAAAGGGGTGTGTGTTATCTATAAGTAAACAAATTTGTTGTTATTGTTAGAATTCTAAACTGAAATCATATACAGACTGAATGTTAAAGGCCGTATTTGTAGATAGACCGGCTCCTGAGCATAATATAGATCGTATTTAAAGCATTCGGTCGGTTAATGCTTCCCAGTGCTTTTAATTCTCTTGAAGATATTTCCGTGTGGAAATAAGATATGAAATTGACTAACCCCCCACCCCCACCCCGCTTCTCATCAAGATGCGTAAGCTCAGAGGAGTTGGCATGCATGTCTTTTTCGTATTGAGGGAAATAGTTTAGTTTGCGTTCTGGTTTTGTTTTCGCGGCGGCGGGGGGGGGGAATTAGTTTATTTTCCGCTTTTTTCCCCGAGGTGCGGTGACGCGTCCTGTCTTCTTTTCAACCCGAGACAAAAGACCTTTTTCTCCCTCTTGTCTCTCTTGTCTCCGTTTTATTTCCTTTCTCTTCCCTTCTCTTTTCTCTTCTTTTTTTGGTATTTCCTTTCTCCTCCCTAAGGCAACCCGAGGGGAAACGGCGGGGCAATCAGCTCGGAGAGGACGCCTCCTTTCCTCGCCCCGTCCCAGCCGGACTTCAAGGAGGAGAAAGAGAAGCACTTCGCGCCGGCTTCCCCGCCCTCGGCGGACCGGCCAAGGGACGGGGCGGACCGGCAAGGCGGCTCGGCCAAGAAGAAGACGCGCACCGTCTTCTCGCGCAGCCAGGTCTACCAGCTGGAGTCCACCTTCGACATGAAGCGCTACCTGAGCAGCTCCGAGCGGGCCTGCCTGGCTTCCAGCCTGCAGCTCACAGAGACCCAGGTGAAAACTTGGTTTCAGAACCGCCGGAACAAATGGAAACGGCAGCTCTCGGCGGAGCTGGAGGCGGCCAACATGGCTCACGCCTCGGCTCAGACTCTGGTGGGGATGCCCTTGGTGTTCAGAGACAATTCCCTCCTCCGGGTGCCCGTCCCCAGATCCATCGCCTTCCCAGCTCCCTTGTACTACCCCGGCAGTAATTTGTCAGCCTTGCCGCTTTATAACCTCTACAACAAGATCGACTACTGAACTGTCTCGCGGGCGGGGGGGGAACAAATGAGGAACACGGGAAGTCGAGAAAGACTGGCCGCCCTCACTGGCCGCCTGCCGAGGAAGCCCGTCTCCCTCCGTGGCCCTCGCGCTCGCCACCATCTTTTCTTAACCCAGCCGTCTCTGTTATCCATCGGAGAGGAGGTTGTGTGCGCCTCTCCTCGTTAAGAAATACACCATGTGTATTCATTACTATGACATATATATTATATATTATATTTTTAATATTTTTATTTATGGGAACTCTCTGGGTTGGTTGGTTGGTTGCTTCGGGTGGTTTCCTAGGCTGGCATAGAAATGTGTGTTCTTGTCCCCTTGTTCGGGATTCCATCCTATCCAGACAGAACTGACGTTTCTTGACCTTAAACAGAATGAAAAACACAGGTCCAACTCACAGATTTGACTTTAAAACAAAAACCCAAAGGTGTGCAGGTAGGGAAAATCTGGGGCTTCTGGAGCCCCACGTCTTTGGTGGGACTCTTTTTCACCGTCTCTTTTCATTACACTTCGCCCTGAGTATTATTATTATTATTATTATCTGTGCGGGTCGGGAAACGACAAAACAAGTGAGCCTATTTCAGATCTGTACATATTTTTAAAAGAAAATAAAGCATTTTAAACATGGTTGGTAACTTCGATCAGGTTGCTTCTGTATATCTGGGTCGGGTCTCTTTTTTTTCCAGGTATGTGTTTGGATTTGAGGTATGAAAAGCCAAACACCTTTTGCCATAGGCATCTCTCGACTGGAAACAACGATGTTTGAATGAAGAGGAGTTAAAATGCTCGGCCAACGGAGAGGATATTCTTTCCTGGATGGAGGTGATTTTCTAAGGGTTCTTGAGCCTTCTTTAGTGGCGTTCCTTTCCTAAGGCCGGCAGCGTTTCAACGAAGCTGAGCGCATAGAAGATGGAACACTGAGCAGAGCAGAGCTGAAATAATGAGAATAATTGATATTTCACTCTATTAACCATTCCACCTTGTTCCGAAGGGTCTTCCCGTAACAATTGGGGCTTCCCACCCGTTATGGCTAGGATATAAGCCGAAAGATATGGGAGAAATGTAGGGCGCTTTACCGCCGTGAAATACCTTCAGTTTAGTTCTCATCCTGTCTTACTTCCTGAGTAAGTCTGGGCCTGAATTAGACTAACGCCCAAGTAAATCAGCATAGGATTTTTCCTTTACTTCTGATTAGACACAACTAGGATGGAGCTGGTATTTTGCTCCTGGTTCATTAAGAGGAACTGTTCTTCCACACATAACACTGTTTCTAGTTTTATCATTCAGCCTCAAAACTTCATTCCTGATTTTAAACAGGATTAGGCCTTAGGGGCATTGTCCAGTCTGATCCTAACTGTTAAGCCCCCCTGGATTTCAGAAGAATTTTCTTTCTCCTTATCGCCAGCGTTTGATTCCTGTTTCGAAATTTAATATCCTGAGTGGAAGCACATTTCCTGAAACCCTTATCAGTTCGGGAGTGGGCTGTGGGAAGGAAGGGGCCGAAGTAAACTGTGTAAGAAGAACTGTTGTTACAAATCAATAGGTTCTTGCCGCTGAAGGTGCCAATTGGCTTCAATCGCTCTAACTGGTTTTTGGATCGGTCTCTTTAGAAGCAAACAAAGCGCTACGTGATTCGCATGCAGCTGGCGGGGATGACCCGCAGCGCCGCAGCCACTTCTGTGGCCTCTTCGTAAAAATAAAAGTTTTTTTTTTTATATACCCACACACGCGGCATATTTTTGGCCTTCTCCCCTGCCATCGCGAGTCTCCCTTTCCCTCATCAAAAGGAAAAGAAAACATCAGCTTCTTACACAGTAAACCCGGGGTAGAAACTTGCAAATGTCAAACGCAGTGGAGATCAAAGCCGCCTCCTGGACAGAGATAGTTATGAGAAAAGAAGATGAACGTCCTCTATTAAGAGATCGGGGCTGACAAGTGGTTCCGGAAATGGGCTTGCTTGCTTCGGAGGTGGAGGTGTATACTGGTAAATGCCAAGATCGCACGCAAAGTGGCGTTGCCAGCTTCTCCTTTAAAACCGAAATGTGACATTATAACCGAGCCGTGATTGATCTACGCGCGTTCATCCCGATGCTGAGAAACACCTGCAGCCTCCGATGTGCCGAACGGAGGACGTTAATCGTTTAAACAAAGAGTAAATACTTCATCAAGTGTTATTTAAATTGCAGGCGCTGTAGGGTGGTTTATCACAGCCACCTGTTCCGTGATTAGCTCAGGATCTCAACAGAGAAGGGCTATTTAAAATGCAATAACTAAAAGCCATCTGAAATTACCTTTACGATGTTTTTAAAACAGAGAATGAGGGATTTGCACCCCATATGGCCATTGTCAATACCAACTTGGGATGTAAACGATTTCTATGGGAAACTATACTTTAGGATTTAGGAGTCTCAACCCAAGAGAGGGATAGCTCATGTTCAGGACATATAATGATCTCTCACTCCAGGAGAAAATGCAGGAATATAAATCCAGGCTTTTCACCAAAGAAAATGCAAAATTTAAAATGAATATTATAATTTTAAAAATCGAAAAGACACATTTAGACAAGAGCCTGAGAAACAACTTATTAATAACACCTTCAACCCATCAGCAAAACATAAGCTCCACTGAAATACATAAGATGCTTTCAAACTGTTTGTTTAAACGTCTAGACTGGTATATTTGTAACTGCCTAAATAAAAATTACATTCTTTCGGATCTCAGATTTCACTCTGTCCTAAAGGCATAGTAGAAATATTATTGATCCTGTCAGTTTAACGATTCCAGTGGTGTCTTTTGTTTCCGTGTCTTAGAACTGGACTCCCATCCTTTGGCTGGTTTCTCAAAATAGACAGATTTTGTATGAGATTCGGAATTAAGGCTCACTAAGCTTAGTGGGACTTACTCTGAAATGAATGTGTATGTGTACAGAGTTGTAGATTTGACCCCTACATTCTTCTTCTTTCAGTTGCTTTCAGTTTGTTTGTACCTTGCGCTATTCCTCCTTTAGTCATTAATATTAAAAACTAGCTTTTTAAAATGAAAACACGTCCTAACAGACTATGGGAAGCAAGATGGAATTCTGGTGCAAGTGTAGTGAATTTTAAATCCCGTTCCCCTGCCATTTGACAGCATGCACTTTTCTTCTGTCACATCGACAGGCCCTAACACACTAGGCAACGCGAAGTGTTGCTACAATAACCCCGATCCAAGAAGACTCTCCACTCTTAAATTATGAAATTTAAGGAACTATATTTCCGAAAGAGCAATACTGTACACGGATTTCACGTTGTTCTACAATTCAGCAAAACTTGCTGGAGTCCTATAAACCCTAGAGTTTTTTCCCCCACACCAGGAGATATTGAAGAAAATGTTTTTCAGGCCATTCTAATAAACCCTTAAGAGTGGGTTCAAATCTTAAGATATAGTGCCAGCTGTGAGACAGATCAAAGTTCCGTGGTAGCGCTTCAATCGTCAATGTAAGCAGCCGTAGGACCTGGTGTTGTATAGATTTCATTGTGTGTGCCCCTCACTCCCTTTTAAGCCTGCGAAGTCATTCTGGGAATGCAGATTTGTAGTTAATCTGCTTTAACCTTGATTAACCCGATTAACCTTGAACTGCCAGGCTTCTCCCTTTGCAGCGCGCTTGGTTCCATCGGAAAGTTCCCTGCAACTTACTAATGTTTTGATTGAACACCGAGGCATCCATAGCAGCGCAACTCCAACAATATTTCAGCCCAATGCCTATTTCCAGCCGCTAAGAGCATGCGCATTTGATTCATTTCCGTCGACTACTACCTGTTACCTTTTCCTGCTGAATCGCCGTTCTTCCTGAACATAAGCCCCTGCAAGTATATCGGGCTGAATCCAAGAACTCAAAAGCTGCAGGGAAGTTGCCTTTGAAGTCGGGAGGGGCTTCCACCAGAAAGCAAAGTTATCTAACCAGCTAAAACTCAGGGGTCCATGTATTTCATGTCGAACACATTTGTCTTCTTGGATACAACGTGGGAATATTTCAGCAGATATGGTTCTATATAAGCATATTTGAAACAGATAATCTTATGAGTTATACAAGTGTCGTGCTTTTAAATAGAAATATGGTAGGTTATATACAGTATAGAGAAACGAGATGTCCGCTTGTGGCGGGGGGGGGGAGGAAGATACAAGTGTTGAAACAAAAAGGAAAAAGATTCAGCGCAATGTAAGGAAAGAGGGTTGTGAAAAGGCCACATTCCTCTCCGAGCAATTTTTCCTAAAGTAGCAGGCGTTCATATTTAAGCCCAAAATAATATTTATTTCACAGGCTGCAAAAGCAAAGCACAGTTTGGGGAGGGTCTGACAACAATAAATATAAAAACAGCAACTTCCAAGGAGACCGTCGCGTTAGTCTGTTATGGCAAAAACAACAGAGTTTTAGAGCACTTTAAAGACTAAACCAGCTTTCTTTGGCTTAGGTTTCCCCTGGCTGTAGCCCACTTTTTCAGACTAGAACTTGGCTGCAGCCCTTGGGAACTCAGAACAAATAAAACCGCTTTAGTCCTTAGATCAAAGGTCTTGGCTTTAGATAGAAACACATGGTCTCTTTGCATTTATTTCCTGGTACATTCACCGGACGGGATTCACGGATGGAACTGCTGAATACCTAGATGCATCAGTGAAAAGAGGTAAGATAACAGGAAGATGAAATCTGGAAGGAGGAACCCCGCTTGGTGTAGGCAACTGTGGTCTCCGTCAGAAGCTTTGGACCACCGCTCCTCAAATGGCTGGAGCCGACGGGTGCTGGAGTGCAACACCGGGAGGGGTGAGGCGGTAGCTTGACACCCTCACCTTGCAAAGCAGTCGCAGCGAGAACTTGGCCATGACATCTCTTCCCTCCGTTGTTTTGCATCCTCATCACTTCAAGGCCCGTTCTCACAGAGATCGAGAGAAATTCTGATCCGCCAGGGTTAACTTGGAGAGAGAGACAGGAACAGCCTGTTTCAGCATGGGCTATTCGCTTCTTGGTACATGTCCGGATCTGATCGTCCCTCCAAGCTTACACAGGCCTCTCTCTCTCTCTGTGCCTCTTGCTTTCAGTGGCATCAAAGTAACTAAGTTAAATGGAACACTGAGAAGTGCCATTTTACAGATCCACTGAAAGACTCTGCCCTCATTTTACACACCACGGACTGAGGCAGCTTTTTGACTGAAAACATACCTAACTTTCGTATCCAAATCCTTCTGAGTCTAACAGCACCCTAACCCTCACCCCACCCCCGCTTCCCGCCCAAAAGCAACAGGGGGCATTGCCAACGCAACCACCCGGCTAAATACAGTATTATTAATAAGATCTCGACTCGATGTGTTGCTACGCGAAAACGAGGCAGGACGGAAAGCACGAAGGAACGTTGCACTTGCTCCTCAGGCAGCGACGGAAAATCGTCGAGAAAGCGAGCACCACCTGGCAGTCTCTAAGGCCGCCTGAAAGAGGAAGCTGAGCCCGTTGCATGCTGGGCGTTGTAGTCTAGTTTTGGCACGCACGGGGGCACGTTCTTCCGCGCGTGCGCCTTAGTGCGGTAGTTCAAATCAACCAATCAGTGGTCGCGGCGCCGGGTCGGCTTTTTTTTTTCTCCCTTCACTTTCACGCGGGGCTGTTGGGAGTTCGCTCGGGAGTTGCTGTGAGGGCGCGCTTTGTACTACGAGGAAGACGTCGGTTGGCGAAGGAGGCCTCGAACTGTTGAAACCCTGGAGGACAAGGTAAGGGTCCCGTCGCCCTCTCTAGACCGTCTGTGTGCCTTGGGAAGGAAGGCTGGGGCTCGCTGTGGAGACCTGTTTGGCGGGGCCAGGCTGCCCTTTGGGGCCTAGGGAACCGCCCGTCTGAGGAGTGAGCCGCTTTCTCTCTTTCGTCCCCGTACTCCCCCCCCCCGGTACTCCTTTTCCTCGTCACTAGGGATGCTGGCCCTTTTTCCGCTTTCCCCCTTCTTTGCTTTCATTCCCTTCCCCCCCCAGCCACCCCGCCCCCAATATCTCTGGTGAAAAGGCATGTGTATGTGTTTTAAGGGTGCAGTGCTGCCTACGCTTTCATTTGGAGCCACTCTGGTTCGAGGCAGCTGAGATTCTTTCCAAGTAAAGTCTCTCCCCTCCCCCGTTTCTGATTACTTCTCAGGGGTAGCCCAGTTGGCTGCAAAAATAAATGTCAGAACTCCATATGGAGGTGGTCCATTTTTAGGCCAATCAAGAAAGTGGAAAAAAGTATGTACAGGCACACAAAAATGCACAAGTTTTGGAAGCATTTCCCCGTCATCAGGTGAAGTATTGAAGGCAAGCAGCATAAGGTGTACTGATTTTAGATCTTCATAGTACTTATACAGGTTCCACAGTGTGTGTGTGATGGAGCAGTGATGTGGCAGACAAAGGGATAGGGTGTCATCAGGTGGTGCAGTGTTACTAAGTTTTATTTTGGTTAGCTTATAGACTGAGGACTGGGGCGTTAGAAACATTTTGTTTGTTCAGTTGTTTAGTCGTGTCCGACTCTTCATGACCCCATGGACCAGAGCACGCCAGGCCCTCCTAATCTTCCACCGCCTCCCGGAGTTGTGTCAAATTCATGTTGGTTGCTTCGATGACACTGTCCAACCATCTCATCCTCGATTTTCAGTTTTAAGCAGTATATGTCTTCCACAGCAAAACTGTTAATTTGAGTGCAGTTGGCGGAAAACAGCAACTAAGCTGTTTTTATATTGAACTGGTGAATTAGGTAAAGAAAGCCAGTGTAATCAAATTGTATACCTTTGCCTGTTTTGCTGGATGGTTTCCAGCCTCTGATGGTATATGCTTCTCATGTAGCTTGTATTTATATTGTTCTTGTTCTTGCCAAAGCATTTCCTGTGCTCCAATTAGATACTTCTGCATTTTAGACTGGGCTGTAGTGCTTCGCAACCTTCTGTATGGCCATTATAAGAGCAGAAGAATGCTGCTCCATCACAGCAACTACCACCGTTTCCAATAGAGGCCAACCAGATACCTTTAGGATCCACTCAAGCAAGGTTTGGAGATAATAGTTCTCTCCTACTCTTTGCTTTAGAACAGCTAGTCTTCAGAGTGTTACAAGTTCACATCCACTATTACAAAAAGTGGCAATATATCCATGGTGCAAGTTCATAAAACCCAGGTTGGACAAAAGTCCTTGATGTAACTTGGGTTTCTTTTCATTGCTATGGAAAGTATCAAGTTGGAGATTTCAGACATGCAGTTATACATTTCTGTTACCTGTTCCCTTGCCACTGCTTCCATGCAGAAGTGCTTATGGGGGTAGGGAAGGCAAGGAAGAAGTGGATGTGAGTGATGGAAGCAGCAACCTTAGTGGATGGATTTGAATTGCTGCTGGTTGCATGGCTCCCTTTGGACAGGATGGATAAAATGATTTTTTAAAATTATGATTTAAATCACAATTTAAATAAATGATTTTTAATTTAAATAAACAAAAAATTCAAATTCTAAAATGTAATTTGTTATTTCAATCAATTTGGTTTAAATTAAATCCACCCTGCTTTGGAGCATGGTTGTTATACAGTTGTGTTGTGAGCATAAGGTTTGGATTTTTGGAGGCAACTCATTATGGGAAGGGAGGATTCCCACAGTGCTTTGGTCTTGAAGATCTAGGCCATGGCTGCGGACCTTTTTGGGCCCAAGTGCCCAAACTGGGGGGCACGGATGACAGTGGGCTGCATCGGAACCAGAAGTGGCGGCGGAAGTGCCTTGAGACCCCACTCTGGATCTGTCACTAGCGCCAGCTGCTCCGGATCCTGGCCCACCATCTGTCGAAGTGCCAACACCGCAGCTGAAGCTGCCTCCTGAGGTTTGACTGCGGAGGGGGGGAGTAGCAATCTGGTGACTTATGGCTCGTGAGCCCGCAAAAAGAGTTCTGTGTGCCAGCTGTGGTACACGTGCCAGCCCACAAAAAGAGCTCTGTGTGCCAGCTGAGGTACACGTGCCATAGGTTCGCCATTGCTGATCTAGGCCTTAGGCAGACATCTGGTTGCATAGTGAGTACTCTTAGAAGATAACCTGTCAACCAGCAGAAATTTGGAACAAACATTACCCTCTTTGTTCCCTTTGTAAGTGTACCTATGCAGGGCAGCAGGAGGTGATGGAGTGTGGCTGGAAGAAGGTGGATTTCAAAGGTCAGTGACAGTGCTTTTGCTGCTCCAACAGAGGCAGCAGGAGGGTTTTCAGCAATACAGCCATTAAGTTAAGTGGGACTTCTTTCAAATAACTGTACAGTATATAGGATCATAGCCATAAAGGTGCAAGCTCATTGCACATGAGTCAGTGAAGCCTGAAGCGTCCGCAAGCAAGTGATAACTTGATTTTACTTGAGAGGAGGTTTAGACCAGGGGACATTTGAGAGATATAGCAAATTTTTTTAATGGAAATCCAAATATGCTTTCTCTTAATCTCTGGTCTGCTACAATAACAGTGGACTATATTGCTGTTCTATTGCATAATAAATAGCTCAGTTTTGAAATTTGTATTAGTAGTGTTAAATGTTTCACATTAAATACAAACACATTTAGAAGAGCAAGAATTCCTCTTTTTCTTCCCCCTCTATCTTTCCCTCTCTCTCTCCTTGTTTTGTAATGGGCTGTTTGCTCTCATTTATATTAAAAGCTTGGTTTCCCCTCATTGATTTTTAGGGGCAATTCTTACTACTGTTTATTGGGGAAAATATCTTTTCACTGTGACTTGATCCATCCAGGTAGATCAATGTTTCTTTCTTTACTTTTAATATATGTTTATTTCTCATCTTTCTTTTCCAGCTGTTCAGTTCTATTCCTTCTTTTATTCAATTTAATTTCCTATCATATTAAGTTATTATGTGACTGTTTTAAAAACCCTCTCACTACTGTGTACGTGCATTCTTCTGAAACCCTTTACTTATATATCACTGCTCCAGCACAAAAACCAAGATGGTTAAAATAAGTGATATTGTATCTTTGTATATGTTTCTGAATTTGAGGTGATAGTTGTCCTGAATGAGAGCCAAAGACAGACCTCCAAGGTTCCCTCTAGGGTGTGGCTGTGTGACTCTGCCTCTCTCCACACAGCCTTTCTCCTCTTCTGTGCACTGACAGCAGTTGTTTTTAGCCCCTTTGGTTCTGGTCGTGATGAAACCTCATTCGGTGGTAGGAATCTTATGTGCATAGAGGGGGATGACGTTGCAAGGGACAGAGCCCGCCCAAAAGGGCTGAAAAATAGAAGGAACATTGTAGACCTCATCAAATTCCATTAATGTAAAACATTTATCTGAGAAAGTAGGTGTAAAGTGCTTCTGTACAGTGATGGCTTGCAAGACGAAAATAAATCATTCCGCAAGTCATTTCATATTGCGAAAATTTCATCTTGCGAAGTTCAGTTTCCCATAGGAATGCATTGAAATTTAATTAATGCATTCCTATTTGTCTTGTGAAGCACGACCATAGAAAAAATTGTCTTGCGAGTCACCAAAAATCGCAAAATACTTTCGTCTTGCGAATATTTCATTGCATCAGGCATTCATCTTGCGAGGCATTACTGTATTAATATTTTGCCATTGTGTATGTATGTTCTGGGGACACAGGTGGAAGTAACAAAATGATATCAATAAAATGGTTGCATATACAGTGTGAAGTTTCTTGAAGCACTGTCATTGCTTTCTCCATGTACTTGTTCCCTAAGGCCAGATCCTAAACAACCTGTGCATAAAGCAGCCTAAAACAACAGACTCTGGAAACAGTTACAGACTTGTTTTTTCAGCTGTTATACATGATGTTTTTAAATAAAGGTTGCAGTATTATAGCATAAGGGCCACACTCACAGACAGATGTGACTATGGGGGAGGGATGTGGCTGAAAAGGCTAGTTTGCATATTTAATTTATTGTTAATTTTTTGTAAATGCAGGGGTTTTTGGAATGCATTAAACGATGTTTAATGCGTTCCAATGGAAATCGCTGCCCCGTTCAGCGATGCTTCAGCATAGCGAAGGTTAATCCGGAACGGATTAACCTCGCTATGCGAGGCACCACTGTACTTGTTCCCTAAGGCCAGATCCTAAACAGCCTGTGCATAAGCAGCCTAAAACAACAGACTCTGGAAACAGTTACAGACTTGTTTTTTTCAGCTGTTATACATGCTATTTTTAAATAAAGGTTGCAGTATTATAGCATAAGGGCCACACTCACAGAAAGATGTGACTAAGGGGGAGGGATGTGGCTGAAAAGGCTAGTTTGCATATTTAATTTATTGTTAATTTTTGGTAAATGCAGGGGTTACAATGACTGTTACATGTTTCTGTAACATTGTTTTTAAATTAATAATATATTTTGTGCCCTTTAGAGACCAGTTTTAAAAAAATTATCAAAAACATTTAAAAAGATTTTTTTCAAAATACTCATGGGCCTCATGTTGCCTATGCAGTAGTCTAATCAATAGCTTTATGACATTAGTTTTTAAAGTAACTGACTTAACATTCTGCTTAGATAAACATTTTGGCCAGTGTTATGGCAGTGTAACACAAACAGTATAACTTTTAAAAACAAATTGTCTCAAGTTAAGAAATAAGTGTAGCATTGTTGCAGGCTGAATTGCATGACTCAGGACACAATAGTACACCTTTGTAACAGAAACATTTTTTTAAAGACTTGAGTCAGTTAACCTCCACAAATTGCACTGTTTGCATTATGCATATATAACCATGCAAGAGGATTTTGGCCTCTGATTAGTTAAAGAATGGATATTGATAAAGTTGCATGATTGTGAGAGTGGTGAGAGTGTGGAACTTTTCAGCTTGGGTGGCCCCATCCTGCAATCCTATGTGGGCTGCATGGTGTTTGGATGAGCTTATGCCATCTAACATCATTGTGTCCCAAGTGAAGCTCAGACTTCACCCCATCCTTGTTTTCCCATGAGGGACTTTTGGGAGAGAGGTGAAAGGGCAAAGTGAGCCAAAATAGGCTTGCAGTCTGAGGTTTTCCCGTTATTGTTCTGTTACTTCCTAAAAGAACATGCCCTTAATTATTCTTAAGTCATCAAAAGAAACATAGTTTTATAATGCATTGTGTACCCCAAATGTGTGTGCCATAAGAAATCACAATTACAGTACTAAAATTTTAAACAAACAGCAATACTATGACTGCAGTATATGTTCTTAAGCTTTATTATGTTGCTTTTCTGTTGTAATGATTTTAGATGTAAAATAGCAATATGCTTTTTGTCATTGTCACCCTTCTTCTAAATCTGCCTGTTTAAAGCATTGACACAAAGATGATTCTAGATAATATTTTCAAAATCAAGAGGTAACTTATGTACAACCCTTATTCAGATGACTGGGTCAAATGAATTTAAGTTGAACCAACCACCAGAGGATGGAATCTCGTCTGTCAAATTCAGCCCTAACACATCACAGTTTCTGCTTGTTTCATCTTGGGACACTTCTGTTCGATTGTATGATGTTCCTGCCAACACCATGAGACTCAAGTATCAACATACAGGAGCTGTACTTGACTGTGCTTTTTATGTAAGTGCATACTTTACTGCTTTGTGGTTTTGGCTCCTGGAAGTACCAAGAGGGAGTGCAAGATACAACTAGTTAAATTAATAGACAACTCAAAAGCTTTAGGCTGGATTCCAAATTCATAGTGTTCTTCATATAATCAGAGGGCAGAAGACCTTCTGGAATAGCAGCTCTATTGGGTGCTAAAAAAAACAAATCCTGTCCTAAGTTTCCTAGGATCCTGGCCTTTGATTAATTGAGATGGGGTGTGAGTTAAGATCATAATCCATTTTGTAGGCCCATTGAATTCATTGGCTATCTATCTTGATAGTCTATTCAATGATTACTTTAATAGACATATTCTAGGTTGAGCTAGAATTTGAATTTGGGTCACACTTTGTTTTGATGCTGTTATGGTACTGTTTTCCATCTTTTTGACCATCAGTGATCTTCGTGGTCTAGTTACTGAAAATATTTACTTGCCCAAATGAAATAGTCTGAGCCACTTTCATAGTGGCAGTTTCCCATTCTTTCTTGAGATGCCTTAAGTACTCTGGGTGCTTCTCTGCCCCTGTACTATTCATTCATCTGCTCTCTTCTTTCCTGGCCTCAAGAAAAAATGGCTTGCTGAGTGCATTATTGGAACCAACTTACAGCCACCCTTTTTATCCCAAGGTAAGAAGTGAGGTATTTGAGGAGTAGTTTTACCAGTACCACTTTCCCCTCAATGAGCTTCCTTGGCTGAGTTGGTGGTATGAATTCAGGTCTCCTGAGTCCTATCTAGTCCACATGTATTGGCTTGAATTATCCTTCCTATGAATACAGCATTGTTTTATTGATCCTTAGATGATATAACTGAATAATACTTTTAAAAAAGAAGTTGGTCCTTGAATTACGGTATATAACATAAATGAACGATGTTTTCTTTCAAAGGACCCTACACATGCCTGGAGTGGAGGATTAGATCGACAGTTAAAAATGCATGACCTGAACACTGATCAAGGTAAATATATCTTGAAGCTCAGTACAGTCTGCTGAAATATGATAAATCAGTTTGTGCTTCAAGCGTTTGGCTGTAGTCATATATCCATTTTCTCTGGCCCAGGCTTCATTACACTGAGGACTTACTTCTGAGTAGATGTGTGCAGGATTGCACCAAAATAGAAATGTATTGAACAGAAAATACTTGTCATTGGATTTCATACAAGATGGATATAGTTGATATTAAAGTAAAATATAATTCTTTTCTTACAGTTGACAACATTGGTATAAAATGTATCATATGCTTTTATTTGAGCAGTTTTTGTAGGTTCATTTATTACCATACTATGCTGCTCTTTGTTTTTATTTTGTGCATTTAATGCTTTGTTAGGCAATACACACTTTTAATCTGCTAAGGAGAGAGATAATATTTGGTAATCTGTAGTGTTTTGTTTTTTTCTAAATATTTAAACTGTTTACTGTGTGTCAGGGTAGACATTTTTAAATTTAAAATGATTTTTAAATTCAGAATGATTTTTAAATTGAAATTGTGATTTAAATCAATTTGATTTTGTAAAAAAAGTTTATTTTTATCCACCCTGCAATGCGCTGATTTTTTTTTGTTTAAATACTTAATCTCTTTTGTTCAACAGGGGAGACTATCAATATTGCCTAAATGACATTGTCATATGTGGAATTTTTAAAGTTGTATCTGTTCTTCTCTTTTAAAAAATATGTTTATGGGTGATTAAATCTCTTAACTCCCTTTTGTACATTTGTCTGAAAAGATATGGTCTTATCTTTAACTCTGGACCACTGTGCATACCATCTGCATATGCACTCCGATATTTGGAAGATTGCTTTTGTCGTAGACATGGCCTCTTTAATTGCACTTCAAAGTTCCTTGAGTTCAAACAGTGGTATTTGTGGCTTGAGAGCTGTTTTAAGTGGAAATGAGAGAAAATACAGTCATGGCCAATGTTGCTTTTCTGGTAAAATTTCTACTAATATCCTTGCAATGCTTGAATTTGGGATGGGGGTGATAATAGTAGAGATACGTCAGTGAGAGTACAGTAGATAACTGTTTTTAGTGCATGAGTATATAACTGCATAGTATTTTGAGTTTCTAACATTATCTCCCCCTCTGTCACAGATCTCCTTTAAAATTCATAAATGCTAGTAGAAGGAAATGCTGAATAAATGAGATTGGGTTATTGTAATGAGTTCCATGTGGGGCTGCCCTTGAAGCTGATGCAGCTCTTACAGTTAGTGGAGAAGGTGTCAGCTGAGCTGAAGCCAAGTGTTCCTCCATATGAACATGCAATACTTTTGCTGAATATTTTGGACTTGTTGCTGATTGCTGCTGGATAAAGTTCAGGGGTTGGGTACTAGCATACAAAGCCCTAAATAACTAGGGACCAGGGTGCCTGAGCTATATTTGTTCCTTCCTTTTTCATCATCCTGCCTTATTGCTTGAGGCTTACCCTGTGTTTGCACATGTCTGAAATTTTCATTATGGGCTACTGACTGATGGAAGGCCATCCCGACTGAGATTAAGCATGTATTTAATGTTACTTTGTTTCAATGGTGGTTTAAATCTTTCCTCTCTAAGCAAGCATTTCCTGACTGGTAAATTCCTACCACAGTTTTATTAATGCATTTGCAGAGGTCAGCTAAGAGTCTTGTGGTACCCTATCAAATTTTATATTGAATCAGTTTTTGTGGACTGCAGCTCACTTCAGATGAAATATCAAAATATTTCAAATATATTTCTTATATATAAATATAAATTATGATCTGACATCTTTGAAATAAATGAGCTGAATGTCAGAAAATCTACTTATGCTTAAGGTTAGATTAAATGCTGAAATATTAAATGGATAACAAGTTTCCTGGCATAGGTTACTTGAAATCTTTAAAGATTCTGGAGAATGGAATTGTTGCTTTGGAGGAGGAAGCTATTTAAAATAACTTCTAGAGGATTAAAAATCTAGTAATTTGTTTCTTTTCTGAGTTGGAGAAAATAAGTAAGGTATTATACAATAAGCATTCCACATCGTTTTAAAAGCTTCTGAAACAGTTTAATACTACATGGTACATAGCTAAAATGAATGATGGTATAGAATAAAGGTTTTATTGACAATGTTTTGTTGAAAGTGCCTGATTACTCACAAGAGGAGAAGGCATGAACTAAAGTGGTCATGCCACATTCACCAATTATTAGATCTTTATAGCATGCCATTCATGTCTGGGATTTTCAGAGAAGTCCAGCAGAGTTAGGTGCACAAATCTCTTTTGTTCCTTTGAAAATCTCTGCATGGGTACCAACTTCCTCCTTCAGCTTCTTTGAAATGCCGAGTTGATATCTATTAGTCTACATTTAACTCTTCAGAAGCGTGTCTCTATTGCAAAGATTAGAGGATCAAGCGACTTTTGAAAAATGTCCCAGCATGCACATACATTAGTGAGAGGCACATCAGACCTTGTTACTGCTGTATGAATATTGCTCCGTTCTTCTTACTAAATTTGATTATCAATAAGATTAGTATAGCTATGTGTATTAATCCCCTTTTCCTTCTTCCTTTGTTCTTCTTTTCTTTCATTTTTTCTTTACAGAGAATCTTGTTGGCACCCATGATGCTCCTATTAGGTGTGTTGAATATTGCCCTGAGGTGAATGTAATGGTAACTGGGAGTTGGGATCAAACCGTCAAGTTATGGGACCCCAGAACACCTTGTAATGCAGGAACATTTTCTCAGCCTGAAAAGGTTTGTCTTTAAGAAATTTAGACTGTGATCTTTACCTATTTACTTCATCATCAGTATCATAATGAGCACAGTAGAACTGCTGAGTAGACATATATAGGATCAATGTTAGTGAAATTATTTTTCAAGTTTGAAAAATGCATCTAAGTTAGATATAGTATTACAATCCTCCTTACCATCAGTTAAAAATCAGGAAAACTTTTATAGACAAAAATTAATTTTTACATGTTTTGGTTAATACTAGGAAGCTTACATAGCAGAACAGAAGTCACTTCCCTCTGTGGTTTAGAATGTTCTGAAATTGGAGAAACAGTATGAATTGTAGCTGGTTAGTAAACCAAAATAAGCCCATAGACAGTATCCAATGGTATGGCATTACCACGAATTGTGTGCTCATGAATGCCTAGTTCTGAACTATGCACAAGGGACAAGTCTAATATAGGCTTCAATTCTGTTAAATTTCTAACAGATCAACTTTATTTTATACCTGATTTGGTCAGTTACATCACTTATTCTTTAGTTTCTGATTCTATTGAAGCTGTCCTCTTTGGTCTTTAAACTCCTTAATAGTTTGGGGTTATTTCCTTGCCCCTGTCACTAACTACCAGCTTTACAAATCGCAATAGTTCACTACAAATTCGTTTACTCCAATTTGCATTTTATTGCATTATATTTGAAAGCATCTGTAGCTAGCGCCACTTTTTCCCTTTAAAACTATAGTATTTTCATGTGTTTTAAAGCCTTGTACACTGCCTTACATGTGCAGTGTGACTGGAATGGCAAGTTAATATTTTAAAATAAGTAAAAGTACCAAAGAGGATGTTTGATTATCGCAAGATGGTTGTTTTCACAGTCCTTGTACAGTATTTTGCATTTGTAAGCCACAAGCATCAGGTTTACAGCCTAGAATAGTTTAGGCTTTGATGCAGAAGAAGTGGAGGGGAAAGTTATACTGCACACTTTCAAGAGTGATTTGAACTTTATCAGTCTTACAGTTTACCACAGTTTCATAATATCAACTCATGCATGATTGGGCAGAAAAAGTTCATATGAGGATACAAGTACTTCAGCTCACATCACAGTTATGACATTAATACTATTAATTTTTTATCTGAACTTTTGTTAGTCTTTCTGTCATATCCATTGTCAGTTTGTGCATGTGCAAAATCTGTTTTATTCTAGGTATTTTTCACAACTTTAAATACTTTCAATCATAGTGAGCAGTTTAGGCAATATTGTGTTCAGATACTCCAATAATGGAGGCAGTACATAATCTTAATCTATTGGCAAGAGCTTTGATCAAAATAAAATTGTATTGTTTTTACTTGTGATTTATAGTTGTACGTAGCATGTAGAAAACTGTGATGAATCGCTCGTGCAATTTCATATAATAGACAGTCACACCAAATCAAGTTTTATATTGGTAGAGCAAGGTTCATTATGTCACTTTTTAAAATGTTCTTTCTGATAAATGTGTACACCTAGCCCATTTCATGACATAGGTTTAATTTGATTTATGGTTGTGAGGTATAGAAAGGTGTGACATCAGGTCGTTAGTAGAGAAGATTTAAGGTAGTCAACATTCTTGGTGTATTTATTCCTGTATATGGTTTTCTATAATCAGGGTTTTATTTTTGCCTTCTCAAATTTTAAATTGGCAGGCAAATATTCTATGTGTAATAATGTGGTTAACCATTGATTGAATTATTTTCAATCTGATGTAAAACTTGAAAATGAGTATCAACTGATTGCACAGTCTATGTGTGTTTCATTCAGTGCATTCTATAAATTAAGGGTGTGTGATTGGCTTCCACCTGTATTCCTTTTATATGGAACAGTTTAGAAGATAATAAAACTCTGTATAATTTAAGTGAAATAATAAATATTGATTGTTATTCCCTTCAGAGCTTTTTCTGATATGGATCAAATTCTTAGTTCAACAGTTAACTTTAAACTGCATTCACTGGATTTGAACAATCCTTAAGTTCTTTTAGTAGTAAGCTGTACAATATGAGATGGCATAAGTGCACAGCATGATATTCAGTATAACATAGTCTTGTTTTTTTCCAGTTGTAGATTTTTCAGGCCGTGTGTGTATATGTAACTGAAAGTTAGGTTTCTGTACTTGAATGCTAGTTTTTTTATAATTAATTTAGAATGTTTAAATTAAATATTTACTTGCTGAATATTTCAGAATGCAACAATTGATGATGCTATTTTTTATATTTATGTTGTAATGTAGATGCAACTGTGTTTTGATTTGCTAACTATAGGTAGGAAGCAGCAGGTTACCAATGAGTCTGCATGGTCCATATCTATTTGTATTTTTCCCCCTCACAGGTGAATTTCCTCCCTTTTCCTGCTTTCCACTTTCAGAGCCTAACCATGATGATGCAAAATAATGACTGTGCCTGTTTTTGTTAGCCAAGGACCAGAACCCAATTGAAGAAATATGCTGGCAGAAGTCTATCAGTGTAAATTTCAGTGGTGAATAGTTGCTCGTTAAGAAGAAGATATAGGTGTTTGTTGTTGTCTGCTGTCAAGTGACTGTGTGACCCCATTTGGACTTAATGAGCAACAACTCCCCAATGAAATTCATGTTGATAGGATTCAGGCCAGTTGTATAAATTGACAACCACACTATGTGTAAAAAAAACACTATATGTTTTACATGACTTTTTAAGTTTATAGACTGGATGGAAGAGTAATGGTATGCACTGAAAGATGCAGAAATGTCACTAGGGGCATGTTAAGTCATTTGAAGAAAAACACGCAACAAAAAATAGTTTCATATTTGTGCATTGTGACTCCTAGCCATAGGATGATTTTATGTGTAGGGTTTTACCATTCACGTAGTATGTCTTGTGTATTAATATGTTTTATTGAGCAGTTATATTTGACATCTTCCACATTTTTTACTCTCTTTACACATGTTAACGGAAAAGGTCATATTTTGTGTTACTGCTATGTTGTCAGAATAGATACTCAGTGCTGAAACTGAAGAAATTAACTATACATTATACATTTTCTCAAGGTTTATACATTGTCCGTGTCTGGTGACAGGCTAATAGTGGGAACAGCAGGTCGAAGAGTTCTGGTGTGGGATTTGAGGAATATGGGCTATGTTCAACAAAGAAGAGAATCAAGCCTGAAGTATCAGACCCGTTGCATCAGAGCATTTCCAAACAAGCAGGTATTTGAACTGAGCAGCAATATTTCATATTTAAGCTCTCTGAAGGAGATTCTGAGGTTCATTTTTGACCAGTTCAAAAGTTTATTTTCAATTCTGCGCATTTTGTTGTCTGTAAAAAGAAAAGTATTTTCTCTGCTTTTCTTATCAGGTTTTGATGTTGCTAATGTGGTTGAAAGCTATAATAATGTTAATGTGTGTTTAGTTTGAAAATTATCAGGGAGAACTCTGAATTGTACAAGAACAGTAGACTAGCATAGCTGCAAAACTCTAGAAAGATGAGTGTTCTGGTAAATGACTGTTACTGGGCTACATAAAATTATTTGCTTAGGAGTTCTTTCTTTACTGGGCATAGCTCTTCCACTGAACCTATCAAAGCTGCAGAGAGAATTAATACAAGAACAAAAGAATATTTTGTTTCTCTCATCTTGTTCTCTGGGATTCAGTGTAGTGTCTAGGCATGATTTTATTATTTTCCAGAGATTAAAAAAATGAAAAGCAGATTTACCTTGGTGGCAAATACAGTGGGGTCTCTACTTAAGAACTTAATCCATATTGGAAGGTGGTTCTCAAGTTGAAAAGTTCTTATGTTGAATCTGCATTTCCCATAGGAATGCATTGAAAGCCATTTAATCCGTATCTGCTCTTTTCTGTCCATAGAAACTACAGTGGACCCTCTACTTAAGAACTTAATCCATTTTGGAATGGTGTTCTTAAGTTAGAACATTCTTAAGTTGAAGCAAAATTTCCCATAGGAATGGACTGAAAACCAATTAATCCGTTCTGGCTGTTTTTTTGTTATGTAGAGGTGCGTTCGTACATTGAAGCATTAGTTCCCATAGGAACTAATGCAAAGCTGGTTAATACGTACTCTACCACTAGGGGGAGAATTTTTTTTAACCTAAGATGACCTAAGGTTAAAAAAAGAGCAGGAAAGTTTTTTTTTCCTGTTCTTATCTTGGATTTCTGTTCTCAAGTAGAATCAAAATTTAGCAAATGGAGCTGTTCTTAAGTTGGATTGTTCTTAAGTAGGGACGTTCTTAAGTAGAGACCCCACTGTAATCAAGTACATGCTACAAGAGTTCTTGTGTAGAGATAGCATTAGCTAGATTTATCTGATGTGAATTATAAGCCGAAGTACATCATTTGCCTGGGACCATTTCTCAATTTAGAAAGGTACTAGTATGTACTTTCTGTTATCATAGATGAGACAGAATATCACATTTAGGCTAGAACCTCCTGTGTCAGCAGACAACATAAAGACTCCTCATTTCTATTTGGAATCTGTTATACAGTATAGTCAGTTCTCATAAGTTTTTGGGATTCAAAGTGTATCCTTGTATCTCAGTAGTTAAATATAAGTTGTTGAATTGCTGTGCATGGTTTATGTATGTTACATGGTTGTACAGATTGAAGAGCAATTGCATAATAAAAAACCCCTGTATGATCAGCATACCATTGAGTGAAGATTCTCCTTATGTTTTTAGGGTTATGTGTTAAGTTCCATAGAAGGTCGCGTTGCTGTTGAGTATTTGGATCCAAGTTTAGAGGTGCAGAAGAAGAAATATGCTTTCAAATGTCATAGACTGAAGGAAAATAACATTGAGCAGATTTATCCAGTTAATGCCATCTCTTTCCACAATGTCCACAACACATTTGCTACAGGTAATATAGGAGATATAGGACCGTAATTACGTTGATTTATGCTACTACCTGACAATCAAATCAAATTCATTTATACTACACACGCAAAACAGTGTAGCTCTTCTGCAGTTCCTTAATGGAGTTCTGGATGTATCCTATCAGTACCTCCAAAATTTATGGTTTAAATTTAAGCTGAAACATATTTTCTACCATGACACTAGTTTGCACATGTGTAAATCTGGTCAGATTGTTGTTTGCCCATGTTGTAGCATTCGTTCTGTCAACATAAAAACAATGTTTTTTATCCTTTATCTTGTATAGGATAGAAGGAGGAGAAAACTACTGATGTTTTCTTGTAGTTTCTGAACAGACTTAATTGCAGAAAAATGGACAGAAATCAGTTCTTCTAGCTTTTAATGTGTGTGTCTTTGCCATTCTGCTTGAAGGTGGTTCTGATGGCTTTGTCAATATTTGGGATCCATTCAATAAAAAGAGACTTTGTCAGTTTCACCGCTATCCTACCAGCATAGCATCCCTGGCTTTCAGTAATGATGGAACCACCCTTGCCATAGCATCATCATATATGTATGAAATGGATGACATTGAACATCCTGAAGATGGTATCTACATTCGCCAAGTGACAGATGCCGAAACAAAACCCAAGTGAGTATGCTTCACCTGCATTTGAGCTTTTTCTAACATTTATTCCAGGATTTATTAATTTTCCTAAATTCATGAATAGCATTGTTGATTCCTGGTAGATAGTGCAGCTTGACAGTAGGACTGGAGTTGATTTTATCTTGTTCTCCCCAAGCTTTCAATATCCGTAGGTTGATAGATGGCTGGTGGATAAAATTGTCTACTTGTTTTGTAAGAGAAGAATGTCAAACTCTCATTCTTTTTGAATAAGCACTATTATATGAAGCCATGGGATTATTACTAGCTCATTGCTTTAAAATTAAGTTGAAGAATTCAGGATAATTTATATAGGCAGATCTAATTATATTGCATCTTTAAGATTTCAAACCATTGGCAGTTTTTTGTTGTTTTTTTTTTGCACATAGATCTAGGTTGCAATATCGAGACTGAGCTGGTTATAGCATGGTATAAATTATTAAGAGAATCTTGAAGTGGTAGGTGTAGCTCTTTAATTACCAGTATTATGCCGTCTTTGCTAACAAACAGAATTCTATCTTCTGTTGCCCAAAGCTAACAAATCTAGCCAAAGCTAAATATGTTGTGAATTCTTTTCCTTGGCTACTGTGGATGTTCTTTTCTTTTTGCCATTTAGCTTAGCGGCAAGAAAATGTCCATACCCATAGTGTTTGGGAGCACTGTGCCTGTTAGCTATTCTTATTGTCCCCACACCTCGCTGTTTGTTATTACTGTATATGCCCTCATATGAGGAAACATATGAGGGTAGAACTGTTTGCTGTTGTTATATGCTGTCAGATGGCTTTTTTTACTTATGACACATGTGCAATATTCATATGTTGCCCATGTCACTTCCTAGTCAGTTTCCGTGGGTTTGAACTCAGATCTTCTGAATTCTAGTCCCAATACTTTACCCACTACGCTACACTGAGTTTCAAAAGTGTCTGTAGAGAAAGAACATCTGCAAAATGGTCAATGTACGCATCTGCTGGTGAAAAAGTACATCCATTCAACACCAAAACAGAATGTTCTCTATCACTCTGTAGGGGAGAGAGAGACACATATATAATCCCTATATTAGAGTTGTTGTGTGAAATGGCTTTCTTTATTCCCTGTGTTAAATACTAAGGTTCACTAAAGTGAAGGATGGGGGCTCATGAGGCTGGGAAATATTTGTGTGAACTGAATTAAATGTACTTCAGTGTGTATGGAAATTACTGGGGTAAAGGAACAGCATACATTCTCATACTTCTTGATTATGCAATTTGCCTCCTAAGTAAATATTTGTACTTAAATTTTTTATCTGATTGTAGAGACTTGAAGTAGACTCATAGAGTAGGGATTTCAGCAATGTGATGCCTGTCAAGTAAAAATGAAGGCAATTTTATTCATAAATATAGTGATTAGTTATTTATTTTATATTTAACATGTAGTAAGTCTTTTTTTTCAAAGCACTTTTCTCAGTGTTTACACTGAAGGACAGACACAATAAAATTATCTAAAATTCATTTGCTTATAGAAAAACAGTATCCCAAGTATATGTGAGGATTATCTTTCTGATTAGGTTTCCACAAGATGCTGTGATGATGAGGGCGCTCTCATAGATTCCCCTTCAAGGGATCCACCCCCATGTTTTGCATGAAGATCTGAAATTGTGTAGTGAATAGCATAAGGTGATTCCAACCTCCCTGTAGTCATTCCCGCCATAAGGTTTTTCCCTCTGCTGTGCTGTATTATTGGCATTCTGTTGCCAGTTGAAGGGAGTGCAAGATGGTTTGTTTCACTATTGTGGAGCTTCAGAAAGTTTAATCAACATAGCACATTATTGGCTGTAGCTGTGCTTGTTGGGATTTTTCCCTTTAGTATAGTTACTTTTGATTTTCAGAGAATGTATAATAAAAATCTAGTATCAAAAGAAAGTTTTTTGTTAGTTTAAAAATCAATCAGTTTAAAAATCAGTTTAGATGATATAAACACTAAAGCTAAAAATTTAGTTGAATTAAAAAACAAAGCAAGTTAATGCAAAATACCTAGACTCGCTTATAATCAAATATAAATTATATATTTGTATCATATCTAAATATTGCAGAAATAAATAAGTTACCTAAGTTAATTCAGATTCCCATGTCCTTTGTTTGCTTTTTTTACCTGCACAAATTTAATAGATCTGAGCATACAGTGGTGCCTCGCATTACGATGTTAATTCGTTCCAGCGAAATCGCTGTAGAACGAAAACATCGTAAAGCGAAATTTAAAAGCCCATAGAAATGTATGAAAACCTGATTAATGCGTTCCTATGGGCTTGAAACTCACCATCCAGCGAAGATCCTCCATAACGCGGCCATTTTCACTGCCCGTGCAGCGAGGAATCCGTCCCAGAAAACAGTGGGTGGCCATTTTTTAACCCGGCGGCCATTTTGAAACCACCAATCAGCTTGTAGGAAAATCGTGGTTTTGCGAGAATCGGTTCCCGAAGCAGGGAACCGATCATCGCAAAGCGAAATTCCCCCATAGGAAACATCGTTTTGCAATCGCTTTTGCGATCGCAAAAACTTCATCGTTATGCGATTTCGTTGTAAAATGGAGCGCCCGTTAAGCGAGGCACCAAACCGCAGTCAGCTGTGTCTAAATAATCGTGTTGTTCAAAAACTGCTAGTTTTTGACACCTTTAAAGAGTTTTGAATAAATTACTGCATTAATAAGATTATCTATGTATCTGTGAATTATACAGAACAATTGGTTCTGTTTGTGATACTGTCTGAGTTGGGACCCACTGGAGACCCACTGGAAATCAGGGAAGTGAATTTTTCCTATAATCTCCTTTGGCCTCTGCTGTTTCCCATGTGGCTCCAGAGGACATCCACACCTTCAAAATTTCTCTTTTGTGTGTGGAAACAGAATGTAGAGAGAAGTGTCAGCAAAAGTAACTTTCATTCCGGATGATACGGGGACGTGGTGGCGCTGCGGGCTAAACCGCAGAAGCCTGTGCTGCAGGGTCAGAAGACCAAGCAATCGTAAGATCAAATCCACGCGACGGAGGGAGCTCCCGTCGCGTGTCCCAGCTCCCGCCAACCTAGCGGTTCGAAAGCATGCAAATGCAAGTAGATAAATAGGGACACTTCCATGGGAAGGTAACAGCGTTCCGTGTCTAAGTCGCACTGGCGATGTGACCACGGAAGATTGTCTTCGGACAAAACGCTGGCTCTGTGGCTTGGAAACGGGGATGAGCACCGCCTCCTAGAGTCGAACACGACTGGACAAAAATTGTCAAGGGGAACCTTTACCTTTACCTTTATTCCGGATGAAGAGAATACAGCTGAATATAGATCTAGATCTAGTCCTGCATGATGACTCATCAATATATATTCCATTCCTACGAATGTTTATTCAAAAGTAAGCACCATTAAACATGATGGTATTTAGTCTCCAGTAAGTGTGCATAGAATTTTAGCCTTAATTATATAATGTGCATACTGAGAAGTCAGCTGTATCCAGTTCTGTGGGAATTAACTCTTCCTGTTCCAAATGGCTTTTAACTGAAATAACATCAAATGTTGGTCTGATGGCAATTTTTAGAATATATATTTTAATTGCATTTTAATTATTTTGCCTTTTTATTGTATTTTAAATGCTGTAAGCCGCCCAGAGACCTTCGGGTAGTGTGGGCGGCATATAAGTTAAATAAATAAATACATAAATAAATAAATAATATGTGTATACAGAACTGTAATATAATGTATTCTTTTTTAAAAAATTGTTGCCTAATGACCATCATTTGGCAGAAATGAACTAAAGTTGTCCTACAGTGCCAGCATGTGCCCTGTATCTTTTTTTAGATGGCATATTTGGTCTATATGGAATGCGATACCAAGAATACAATTGCTGAAATCCTATTGTAAGGCCTGCAATGTGATTTTCAGTAATTAAAGACAAACAGCCACCCCGCCCCCAAATCCTGTAGCCCTCAACTGGTTCCCCATGTTGAAATGGATTCCATGGAAGCCTTGGGCTCTACAGGTGGATTAGAAATGTTTTATTTTTGAAAAATTGGCCTGGCGGATGACATTACTGGCCTTATATGATGTAATTTGCAGAACAGTATCTTAGCAAATACTTTGTCACAGTTTATACATTAAGAAATACTACAAGATCTCCTTTATGCCATGGTTCTCCTGGGATGTATTTATATATTTTCTTAAAATGTCAAGAGAAACCATAGAAGCAGTCATAGTTGCCAATTTTACAGTAGCAATACCATTTTTTTGAAATATTCTTGCCCTAATTGGGGCTTGAATTCACCTTTCCAATTTTTACTCTGTCTTTTCTGGTCCTGGCTTTGCCATGCTTTGCACTACAGTATGTTATGTTGCAATGAGCACAACTTGCAGAAAATAAGTATAATGCAAATACTTTCATTTATGTAAATGCTTGGGTCTAGTTCTCACGCATTTTAATGGGAGTATTCCTGCAAATGACTTGTATTAACGAGGACTTTAACATGGTCTTTAGTGGATTGAAGGCCAGACCATATGATTTGGTCTTCAGCTGTTTCTACCCTTGCATTGTGTTTGCTAATAGGGATGCTTCGTTCTGCTTTCCGAGGAGGTTAATCTACAATTAAACAATATTTCCTCTTGGCTGTCCATTATTTTCTGAAACAGATGGTTCATCATTTCCTGGGCTGTTAAATACAGCAAGGTTAAGGATAGACTCCTGGGAATTATTTAGCTCTGAATCTTATTACAGGATGTAGAAGCAAAACTAATAAGAATAGTACTTAATATCATTTTCTGGCTGCAAACAATTATTTATTAGCAAACAATTGATCCCAGAAGGGCAAATTGTTTGAATTGGTAATGAGCTGAGACATGGCAGAGCATATCTGTGTATTTGCAAAATAATTGTAATATGATTGCAATACATTTAGGCAGGCATCTTTTTGGACTTGTTTCTGCTTTTAAATGGATTTCTGAAACATTAATATGCTTCTGTAACATGTTGCTTGTGTCACTTTTCAGCCAGATAGTGAAATTTCTTATACTGGTTCATAGAAGTACTTTTAACATGATACAAAGTGACAGTGTTTCTTGCAAATATTGGCATTCTTAAAATTGGTATAGTGGTGCTACTTTAACTCTTGAGAAATCTGGACATGCAAGAAAATGGATAATACCTCCTTCTGGTTTACAAAAGCCTCTGCTAAGCTGAGTGTTTCATTAGAAAGTTTGTTTGAAATGTTAAGAAAATAAAAACAATTGTCTGAATTGTGCTTTCTTTTAAATTGCAGGTCTACTTAATTTCTGACCAAAACATCATTAAAATTTGGCTCTCAAAAGATGTCTCCATCTCCTTGTGGCAAGACTGTTGTAAAGTACATCCCTGCATTAAATGAGGTTGTTTTGGTAATATTCTCACTCAAACTAAAGTCGTGCTGTCCTTTAGTATATTCTGTATTAGGGTTTGGGAGTTTTACTCCAGATGTTGAACTGCAGTTTTCATTAATGCTAACTAGTGCACACATTGGTGAGGGATGATGGGCAATGGAATCTGACAATATATGGAGGACTACATGTTTCCCATCCCTGTTCCTCATCATTCTTTTAAGCTTGTTGAAGAATCAATGTTTTCTTCAGCTTTAGCAATTGCCTTTTCTGTCTTTTAATTCCTTTGAAATCTTACATCTTGTACTTCTAGAATTTTTGTACAAATATAATGCCAGTTTAACTGTTTCAATAAACAATATTTTCAAAAACCACATAATGTCACTTAGCAGCAGTGTGTTATAAATTTCATTCTTGGATTCGCTGGAAGTGAAAACACTGGCATTTTAATCTCTTGCTTGAAACATTAATGTGTTTGTTTGTTTTTTGATACATTGAAAGTTCCATCTTAAATTCTGTGCTTAAGAAAGAGGTATCTTGGCAGCAGCAGAGACCTGAACTATACACTTAACTTGAAAACCATGGAAGGATGCACTGCACATCTGCAACTCTCGCATATATGTTTTCCTTTGCAACTTAGGTTCTATCCTGGTCATGTTTAAATATTTTTTTAAAATCTTGCAAGATGAAGGAATTATGTGAAGGTAAAATATTACAGCACATCATTAACAATGTCTGCTCTTGAAACACCATATATTGGGGAAGGAATATATTCAGAATTTGCTTGCATGCAAATTTGCCTAGAGTGATCCTCATCAACATCTGCAGTCTCTCAAGTCCCATTAAGTTGACTGTGAAGGCTCTTTTGTTTTTTAGATGTAGGCAAGACCATGCAGCCTCGTTTGGAGCCACTAGTTATTCTGTACTAACACAGTTGGTTGGACTTTATATTCTCAACATTATTAATCAACCAAAGTGTGTTTCCATTTCCTAGCAGTTTAAGGGACAGTTCTACTTGCAGCTTCAAAATATGACATTTCCTGGAGAGAGCCTAATCTCAATATCTGCAGCGGGTCTTCACCATTTCTTTTTAAGATTGACCATGCAAACTTCAGAAGTTCAGCATCAAGTGAGACCTTTATCCTCTTGTTTACTCCACCTAAATCTACTTTTTTGTTGTTGATGGGCAGGGGTTTTCAATTTTTGTGCACATTTTTGTGATCCCTGAGTTAGCCTAAAATATTATCTTGATGTGGTTTTTGATGTCTCCTGTACTGTTGAGAGGGTGTTGTACTCTTTTAGTCAGCATTAGGAATCACTCTACAATGGTGGACCAAATCACTTGTTATCACACTCTTGGTTGCATAAAGTGCGAATGTTATAGCTTAGGAATAAGTCTGCATATTTTATGGTTCAGACTCAGAATTAATGTAATATTTACCTTCTATTTAATGCTTCAGAACAACATCTAAGAGGCTTGTAAATACATGATACTAGATTCAGGGGGGAAAAAAGTATCCAAGGGAAGAGTGTTTTCATTGGGCAGTACTCTGTTCCTTTTATTATGCATGGGACTAGAAATGTGGAAGTGGCTGCTGTGATATTGAGGGAGTCATATACTTGCCTGCTTGCATGGCTAGTCACATGCCTGGTCACAAAACAACTAGACAGGTAGGTAGATGACTGGGTCTCTTTTCATATACCCAGTCATTTCCATATTTGCAGTTATATATGTATTTGCAGTTATATAGGTATGGTCCAACGATGGACCAGCTCACTTCTTGCAATCAGAACCTATCCAGGTGGTTCAGACTGTGGTTCAGGCCGTGAACTTCTGGTGGCCAAGATCAAAGTCAAACTCGGGAGGCGGAGGTTTGTTGTGATGAAGCCAGCAGCTGCCGAAAACAGCTCCTGGGAAAAGCTGGAACCGCCTGGTCTGGGGTCCCTCTAGAAAAGGGGGGATCGAAGGGGAGACCAGGAGAGGTCTCTCTGAAGCAGTTGGTGAGCCCCAGAAGGAAGAAGATTGGGCAGCAACCTGATTTTTCTTCCCTCTGAAAATTCACCCAAGCGCAGATCAGAGATGGGAGCCATTTTTGGCAGAATAGCTGTGAGTAACTTCACCCCCATTCCCTGAGGAGAGGAGAACAAAAATACGGCTGAAAATATACAGTAACAAAGTAAATTGAAGCCTTTCATTTATGAATAACCTCATTAAGATGAAAAAGAAACTAGAGTGAAAAAACTTGACCAAAAGAAGAGAAAGAGCGGCGAGTCATGCTTGCCAGCCTGCTTCTTCAAAGCGAAACTGACTCTTAAACAGCAGGCTGGCTCAAGGTCACAGAGAGACAGCGAGACGGAAAAATTTTGTGTTTCTGGAAAAAAAAACCCAGAGAAAATACTACTGGACAGGCTTTAAGGGACTGAAATTTTGTGAATGCTGTTTAGTCTGGATCTTTCTCCCTAGACTGTGGAATTCTGATAATAACATCTTGCTCTCGAAGGAGGAATAAGCTTTTGGAAGTAAGAAAACAGACTGAACCATCAATGTGCCAACATAATTGGCTAGATTGAAGAGCTGGGGAAACCAGGATTAGAGTTTGACGAATGAGACTTTGATAACAGAATTTTGCTGGGTTTTAGAAGGAGGAATAAACCTTTGGAAGCAAGAAAATGGACAGTGAATCATCAGCGAGACGAACATAACCGGATAGACTGAGGAGCTAGGAAAACCAGGACTGGAGTTTTGACGGAGTATAACAATATCTATTGGAGAGACTGACTTCCTGTGTCCGCTGTTTAGTCTGGACTTTTTCTTGGTTGGACTGTGTGGACTCTGATAATACTGCCATGGTTGTAATTCAAATTGTTGGGCTAAAAGTTGAGCTGTATTATAGACTAAGGAGGGGAGGACATACTTAGGGGAGGTGTATGATGATGGGATTGGTTTGTTGATAAAATAGTGGAAACTAAAAAGTATTATTTATACAAACCATATGCATTGGAAATATGGAAATTTGGTAAACAACAGTTAAAGGAAACTTTAACTCCAGAAAGTTTTTTATTGAGTGCGATGCCAGGTAACATAGATGGGATTAAGAGTTACCCTGTGAGCTATTTAGCTACAACAGTCAGAAAATATAATGTTAAAAATTGGATTACTGTCCTGGATTTAATCCTATCTCCCAAAACCTGGAAGAAAACAGACTCATGGAAACAAGAGAAGCGTACTGAGAAATCTGGATTTAATCCTATCTCCCCAAAACTGGAAGAAAACAGGGTCATGGAAACAAGAGAAGCGTACTGAGAAAATATGGGAAGTGTTGAAATGGATAATTTTTCAGGCATGCTGAATGTATGTCCAAGATAGAAGGAAATTGAAAGAGGGGATGTATTTTACAATTGGTCTCGGTTCCCTGATAGTGTTGGAGTAACTTAGATTTAAACTAAAACATAAATGTAAGCTAATAGAGGGTAATCAAACAAAAAAAGTAGAAAGTTGATTTTTTTTATTGAAAAAAGAATAGATTGGATGATTGTATTTTCTGTGCTCTCCTATCCTTAAAACCCATTTCCCATCCCTTCCACTTCCTTATACCTTTTGTATTCCCTATCCTATTCCTAGTAGTTTAAAAATAAAATATTTAAAAAAGATCAAAGTCAAACTCTTAACATCAATAGGACACCACCACCAAAAAATTTCGATTTCACCAAAATTCTCTTCACATGTGCAATTGAAGTTATAAATAGGTTTGAAGTTCTGGACACTGCTGAGAAAATGCCTGAAGAATTGTGGCAAGAAATGCAATCAGTCATCATTAATACAGCAGATGATTATGTACTACACAAGAAGGAAAAGAAAAAGTGTAGATGGCTTTCAGAGAATACCATCCAAATATCTCTAAAAACATGGAATTATTCTTACTATGACTGTCAAAATTTTAGGTGTTTGTTTTATCTTGGAGATACAATCACTGCATTCCTCCCCTTCTTATCCCAGATGGGAATTCAGTGCAGAAATTGAGTTCTAGTTGAAATGATATGACCACCTGGACAAGTTCTGGTTTGTGGCTGTCTTGATTACTGCATGTTTTCTTGTCCCAGCAGCATGAAAATGGTAGAAGTTGCTTCCCATGACTCCAGTCTCATAATGTAGCAATGGGGCTTTAAAGTTTGGTTGTCTTCTATTGTGCAAATTCACTATTATCTTTGCTCCTCCCCTGTTTATGCTGAAGTACTCACAATATCAATGAAAAGAAAATGTGCTGCTGCATTGTGCTCAGAACTATACAGCCTGGGTTGTAAGAGTGTTTTTTTGTAAATGCTTCCCTTCTCTTACAACGAATATGAACATTAATGCATCTTGCTTCTCTAGCCATTCACTATTACTTCAGTTCATAGCCTTAGAAAATGACTGGCACTGTTTTACCATCTGTCAATGTCCTCTACTGTATTAATAAACTATAGGATTAATACTGCTTGGTGTTAACAGTATGCTAATAAATGGCTTGCTGCAGTCTTTTATAACCTCAGACACTAGCAGCGTTAAAAGGACAGCAACATAGGTGGGGAAGAGAAAGTGAAATTGAGCTTATGAAAGAAAATGAGATGTGAAATAAATTAAGAACATTTAAAGAATTAAAGTAATGATGCAGACCCATCTAAAGCTGAAATGTACACAATTTGGTGTTCCAGAAAAGTAGCAAAATGTGGATTATTGATCCATATATCAAATCCCTGTTGCCAAATTCTGTTGCCAAAGCAAGTAAATTGGTTCTGAGCAACTAAAATTTTCTTACGGCCAGTTTCCAGAATGAAATGGCAGACTTGCATAGATAATACAGGAAGGCATCCTGGCATGACTCAGTATGATAAACAGTTGAACAGCACAACAGTTGAACTAAGGAACATATGTAGTACAGGTATTCCTTCTATAAGGAGGAAATTAATCTTCCTTTTATTAGCACTCTAGAAATATAAAGGAAAAGATTTGGAAGCCAGAAGAAATTGTACACAATGAGTTTTCTTTCTACTGTATGAGAAACGACTGAACAAAGAGGATATACAGACTCCTAATCAGTGTAATTGAGTTCTAAAAAGCTTCTTAAGTCATTGCCTTTTGCTGAATGGTTGAAGGCCTTCCAGAGAAATATGCAGTCACAGCCATCATCCTAATACCCTAGATTCATGCATCATCCTTGGCTGCATGCAAGGGTAAAAAAGTCACAAGATGTCTCTCAAGGAAGGATTATGATGCTATAGTATCAGAAGCCAAGTGGCATCGATCTGAGAAAACCATTGTGCTATTGTACTGTAAAATGTAAATATTTTGGCAAATTTGTGAGAAGTCAATTATTGTGTACATGATTGTAAAGACAT